CCTATGTGTTCGTCTGTACCGATTTTTCATCACGTAACTTACGAAAGCTAGAGAGGAACTTAATCTACAAGCATGTACGGGCCCCCATCCCCAAAATGGGCGATCTCACCCGCGTGGTACCCACGTATGGACCCGTGAAAGTTTTTTACTGGTATGTCGTTAACTCGCGAACCAGGAAAGCTAGCAAACTGAAATTTTGAGGGAATGTTCCCCGCCCATGTAAGTCTCATTCAGCTCAAATCTAGCCCTCGTACGGGCCCGCCAAATTTTTTTTTCGCGTAATTTGATAACTCGGGGATCTGGAAAGCTAGAAAGCTGAAATTTTAAGGGGATGTTTCCCGCTCAAGTAGATATCAATGTGCTCAAACCCAGCCCCCATGTAAGCGCGGTACTTACGTGCGGAGCTGTGAAATTTTTTTGGGGTAAGTTGCTAACTCGGGAACCTGAGAAGCTAGAAGGCTGGAATTTTGAAGGGATGTTTCGTGACAGTTCTGGCGGCCAATCTGAAATTCTTTCAGCTAGAAACATCTGCTGGAAAACCCAGTGCCAAAAATCTGCGGGCAGCTATGCAAAAAACGCATCTTCGCACGAGCAGCCCGTACGTTGGGCAGTTGTTTGAAAATGAACCAGCTGCTCAATGAGTAATTTCCCCGCCAAAAATTTAAGTAACCAAGCGTACATAGAGGCAGAATTTGAAAACTCTACGTTGTATTTGTACGGGGAATATTCTCCTAAAATCTCAGCTTTCCAGCTTTTCTGATTTCCAAGGTAGCTATTTTCATGCCAAAAATTTCCACGGTCCGTACGTGAGAGCCACGCATGCCTGAGGTCTGAATTAGATAACTTTAAGCCGTACATGGGCTGGAAACATCCCTGAAAATTTCAGCCTCCCACCTTTGCTAGTTCCCGAGTTAGTTATTTTTTTCATGGGGCCACACGCCGAAAATTTCATGGGGCAACACGTGAGGACCACGCACGACTGGGGGCTGAATTTGATAGGTTTATGTTGTAATTATGCTGAGAACATTCCTTGAAAATTTCAGCCTCCCAGCTTTCCTGGCCCCCAAGTTAGAGGCTTTCGTGCCAAAAACTCCCACGGGGCCGTAGTTGAGTGCCACGCATGTTTGAGGGATGAATTTGATAATTTTAGGTCGTACGTGGGCTGAGAACATCCCCTGAAATTTTCAGCCTCCCAGCTTTGCTAATTCCCAAGTTAGCTGTTTTGCGTCAGGAACTTTCACGGGGCCGTACGCGGAAACAACGCACAACTGAGGTCTGAATTTGAAAACTTTGAGTTACATGTGGACAGGGAACATAATCTGAAAATTTCAGCTTCTAGCTTTTCCCGTCTCCGAATTACCAGTTTCCCTGCTAAAATTTCCACCCTCTCGTACGCGGGGTCCAGAACTGCGTGAGAGTTGGTGCAGCAGCCCTGAGGTGGCTTGGCCGGGGAACCCACCCGCAAAATTTTGACGGTGGAGCTTGCTTGGCTGCCGAATTGAAATACCCGGACACACACACACAAACACACACACAGATATGCTCCTGACATCATGCGCTTTTGCACTGCATAAGGTGCAAAAACGCATAAAAAGAAGTGTTTTTATCAGGATGTTCATCCGATTCAAAAAATGAACAGCAAGTTAATGCGAACCCTGGATTTCAACTTTTAACACAAGGTTGTTGAAGTCTGGATTTATGCCACTGATACAGAGTCTCAAAGTACTTTCCAGACTGTCGTTTGTTCGTCTTGTGCATATTTTAGTTTTATTTTCATGAGGGTGCAGAGATGCCTCTACAAACCCCCCTTCGTCTAGTTAGGTACCACATTCCGATCCTCTCCGCAAACTAGATTAAAACCAGTCGCGGGCCGGATCCGGCCAGCGGACCGCCGGCTGCCTACATGTGATCTAAAGTGCAAAGACAAAACGTTACTGTTAGAATTTTCAAGCTGGACAACGGCTGTCCGATTCACCATACAAACCATCGCCATATTCATGTTGCTTCGCATCAAACCTTCGACACAGAGCGCCAAGGCAAGAAGCAGCACAATGCGAAATCGAATGCTTTGCAACGACCACAAAGTGGTCGAATTCGTGCACTTTACGTCCATTGCAAACTGACCATCGGCGTTCCATTACATTAGCCCTTAAAGTACCCCTATTCATTAGGAACGCATTTCGGTGCTCAACAAGTGATAGTTTAAGCCGCAGAATTACAAAATGATCATAATACTTCTTTACGGAAAGCTATGTGGTCATCTACTAATGTGACTCTGCGCACTTCTGCATTCAGAACTCGTTCCCTTGGAAACAATTAGGCGAATAAATTCTGACTGGCTCCGCCTGAAGGTGAAGGTTGTTATGGAGAACAGAAGGATGGTTAACACTGGGCATGAACGACACGAGCACGATGGAAAGTATGAAGTACATCCCACATATTTATTCAGAATGAAAAAGAGTCCGATTGGGGATCGCCATCAAGCTGACCATCAGGTGAAGTACAGCAAACTCCATGGGTGTTGCTGCCAATGGTGTGAAGGTACGTTACGGTGAAACGACCGCTGAAGAGAATACAGAAATATTCAACTGTAACAAATAACACGTAAGAGGCGGACTTTCACAGAACTGATTACACAAGCTGGTGGAACAAACAGCAAGACGGAAGGGTTCAACCATCAATCTCGACAATCGCAACAAAACAGTAAACTTTAAAAAAGAATCCCTTCCAGCGGCAAGTTTTAAACACAGTGAGCATGTTTTTAGCACTCAAATCTCAGCTTTTCACATTTGAAAGTTATTTCAAAATCTGGTTTTTTTCGATAAAATTTTTGAATCGTTGCAGTTTCCGGTGTGAAGCTGTCGGTGTTAGTCATATGTAGTTATACGCTCAAACTGCGGCTGTGTTAGGCTGGCTGTTTAACCTTCGATCAGCAGTCCTATTTCGTTAAGACAGTTACCCCAAGGCATGTGGACAGTAAGGAAAGTTAACTGGATAGCTACCCGGAACGACCTTGACATGAAGGGACGAGCAGTGCTTTCTTCACGCACATTCTCGGCCCACTAGCAACGACCAACCCTCCTGCGAGGTCCTACACAAGCAAGAAGTTTTTGATCAGCTGATGCATAGTGCAAGAGCAGACAATAAAAATTTTACTGTGCTATAGTGTCAGTTCGGCTCAACCGATGCATCAAAATACCGAAGCTATTTACCAAAGACTTCAGCTTTTAAGCCTTCGAAGTCCTCTTGTTAAATTAATCGGATCGACACAAAACACAGGCATAGTCTTGTCCAAATGTGTCCTTACTTTATGCAGTAGAAAAGTGGAAGTGAGAAGTATGGCTTCGAATTCGCGTTAAAGCAGCTAGAACCCAATGGAACACAAACGAATGAAATTTTGTAAACTATATGAATTTGCTTTGCCCACCCGTCACCTGTAGATAAATACACTAGGCTAGACAAGTACGCAGCACTCATACCCATTGTCGATTCCAGAAATAAAAATTTCGATGAGATAAGTGTCTGCCCTCATTATAAGGCGGCTTAAATTAGAGTATTTGCTTAACAGCAACATCCCTTTATAAGAGTTAAAGTTCTGCGAAATGTGTGTGTGTGTTTGTGAGTGTATGTGTGTGCGGCGAAAGATCTACAGGAACCGAAATGTGGAAGCGTGTGGTGCTTTAGAATTTTATATAAAACTCACAGATACGGCAGTAATACAAACCCAAATGAAAATGCGCAACAGACGACTTCAGTCAAAAAGCACAAGAGATAACCGGCTGATTAAACCCAATCTCGCATAAAACAACCCCCGAGGAGAAATACCACTAAGAAAAAATGAGACAACGAGGTTGACAAAGACGAAACGATTGATGATCAGTGAGTGAAACCTGAATTGGTAAGCGGGAATGCTTCTATAGAGAGGAGATTCCATTAGCGTTGGAATGCGCGCTATCGTCGTAGCAAACCTTCGCTAGGCATTAGCAACCGTTATTGTGACTTCGGGATCTCCGCAGCTGGCTAATACGATTCTGGGAAAATTTAAACTTGGGAAAGGGAACACTTTAACGGGGATATCAGGACTTGGGTTCTGGGGACGGATCCTGAGAAATATTTTGTTTTTCTTTTAATTTTCTTGTTTCTATTCTTTTTTTAACTTTTCTTGAATAAAATATTGTATTCTAAAATGTATTTTTAAGTCCTATTCTTCTAGAGCGAAAGAGAGGAATTTAAGTTCTCTACTTCTCCCATTTTGGGTGTAGACCAGTTCTGATCTTTGTAATCTTCCGTCCTATTTTCATCGCCTCATTTATTCAAGTAGCATCTGCATTATATTGCCCATGGAATGCTAGCAGTGTTCGAAGTTCAAGCATCTAGTGAAGTGACCTGGGTTTACCATACTGAACTGTAACTCGAACTCTGAAGTATGAAATGGAAACGTCTACAACCTCTAACAAAAATGAAATCAAAACCCAATCCTTTGCAGAAGTAATGCCAATCCTATTCTGCAACCCAAAAGGACTGTTACTGGACAACAGTGTGCGTTACAGTGAAATGCTGCAAATAAGAAGAGAAGCTGAAACTAGACATTCATTCATCCGAAACAAAGGCACTGATCTCTTATAAAAGTAAGTGATATTATCATCAATGCTGCACACCCACATACGTCCATCTATAACACGGAAACCACTGAAGAACTGGGTTCGGAAGTTCCACTGCATCCACTGTACAGTTCAAGCCTCGCCCTTTCCGCAACTGTCTCTTTGGACCATTTAAATTTGCTTTCGGAGATGGCTGATTTGCTGCGGACAATGAATTGTAGTAAGTCTCTAATAAACAGCTACACGAACAATCGGGAAACTTTTGTACCAAGAGCATAAGAAGGCTCGTTGAAAGGTGGAAGAAGTGCACCGAAAGCAAGAAGATCATATGACTGTTTAAACCCCACTTTCTCTTCAAATGCAAATACAGAGCGCGAATAATTGTTGACTTTTTCTCATGTAACGATACATACGCATGCAGGCATCTTGCCCTTATAAAGAGATCAAAAATTTGGTGCTTGCGACAGAAAAGAATGATGCGATTTAAAATGCACAGGAACCTACTGATCGACATTTAACGCAAGGTTGTCTCTGTGTGTGTGTTGGGGGGTCAATAAACTCTTTCATACAATTTCAATTCGGCAACCAGAAAAATTAGGAAATTGAGACTTTTGGAGCACGTTCTTGCCCCATACGTGACTTCCCCGTTTAAAAAACACCGCTCATGGACACCTAAGTCTCACGTAAGGACGTCTGAAAGAAACGTGAAAAGGTTTTGGCGAGGAACGATTTCGCAAACCATCTAGCACAGGAAGCTGATTTCAGTTTTGAAAGATTTCGGCACCTATTTAACTTCACAACCAGACTGAGAAGGGAACCGAGATATTAACCATCTATGTACCAGTCTGCAAATACAAAATGAGCTCCTGCTTACGGATGTGTCGCGCAGGCGAGTGCGTAAAAAAATCCCAAAAACGAATACATCTTGTTCAAATTTCGTCATTTCTTTCTCTCGCCGTAATCAAAGAGGCAACAAAGCTAAAATTTCGCAAGAATTTTGGCGTACCTTCAGCGTCACTAAAAACATGAAATCAATTTTCAGGCATATCAAAGTGTCATGCATGGATGCGGCAAGCTTGAAGATGTAAAATCATACACAACTTTTCTTCAAGATGGCGTTAAAGCCAAGATTTCTTACGACCCCATAATGCAACGGTACCGTTCTAGTCGACGCCCTCTTTCTCCCTTCACACAAGAAGAGACTGAAAACATTTCCAGCATGAGTGCACATGTTCAACTGTAGAGCAACACCATTCATACTGTTAACGA